CGGGCAACCTCCAGAGACCCGCTCGCCAGCTGGGGTAGTAGTGGTTGACACCAGGGCAGGCACGAGGATCACGTGATGGCTAAACGAACGCTCTGGTGTAAGTTTGACTTACACGTGTAAGCTAATCGAACGCACCCTATGTAGAAGATTTAAATTAGGGCGCGAGCGTGTAGCTTTTGAAATACGTCTGCGGTTAATGCATATTTATTCTGAATAGCCAGTCAGAGTCATTTTAGACCGTGGGTAGTGATCATTATGGAGATCAATGGCTATGGGTCAGCGGATGTACGCACACGCAGTCTATGGAGTCCAGGTTATTATCTCTATGGGTCAAAACATACAGATCATAAGTGGAACTAGAGGTGGCACGGACACGTAAAATTGTCCCATAACGCACGAACAACTGAACTCGCGTACTCCTAGGCTAGCCTGTGATTGCACGTGCACTGATACTACGAGATCTAATGATGCGTATCTGAATTCATGATGCCAGAAAAATGAAGTAGAGCTTCACGCGAGTAGAAGACTACGCGTGCGCGTTAACATGGCAGCTTAATCGAACACAATATTGCCCTGTCTGGGGCCAAATTTGCAACATAAAAGAATAGGCCTATCACCTCTAGCTTTACTGTTATGATCTCTTTGGGTCGAAGCAACCCCTCATCGGTTAAAATGAGTCATTTTGGTGAGGACTGTTTACTTTGTTTGTAGCGACGTGACCGTTACAGGTGCATGTAGTCGTTTGAGAGACAGCGAAGTGAAGTTCCCGCCAAAGGAGCCTCTGTTGCTAGGAAAGTGATGTAGGGCCTAGTTGGTAATATCCAGATAAAAATGATGTCGTAATTTGTAATGTTAATTGTGCCAGGGCCCGCACCGCAAATTGGGCGCGTAAAAGTCGTTCAGTCTTGCGCATGTATGCGCGCACTTGCGTTCGTGAATTTTCCAACAATTTTACGTACTCCTACTCAGGATTCCTATATTTGGGACGGCAATACGCGTGCGCAATAGAGTGTCCTATCATCGAAGCCATACGCCGACCCATGGGCATGCATTATTTCCGAAACACCTTGCCTTTATAAAATACTTGACGTAACGTGACGGGCAAAGGCATTTCAGGAAGTGTACCATGTCCGTACAGGCGCACACATATACGAGTTTGTGTATTTCTATCTGGTTCGTAAGTGTGACGTCACTTCAGTTTAAACCATGCCCACTGCACACGTGCACTGCACATAGGGTTACATGCATTGATCACCGTTTACATGGAACCATGGAACCAGAAGTTAACGCGCAACCTCAGCGATTGTCCAACGAGAGCCAGCAAATCGTGGCGCGCCCGCCTTTGAAGCGAAGTCACTTACGAACCGGATTGGTAATTTCATGTACGCCAGAATTTTGAGAGACCAAAGTGCGCACGTTTGAGCGCACAGCTGTTTATGTTAAACGCTGACCGTCAAAACTCAGGTGACTGAAACTCCTCTACAATCCTCTATAGACGTGGCCTTGGGCAGACAAGACCGATGGAGAAGTTGTAAGCCGTTTTAAGAACGCAAAGCGTAAGTTGGGCCAAATTTAAAACTTTAATTGGTTCGATTGAGTAGTTTTTTTTACTTGTGTTGGTAGCAAATCATAATGCAGAAGTCTAAGTCAGCCACAAGTCATTTTTTGCAAGTCCAAGCCATGTCAGAAGCCAAAAACTGACAGTTATAAGTCAAGTCACGTGTCACAAAATTAGCGGTACGAGTCCGACTTGAGTCCAGTTCAAGTGACTCGAGTCCACATCTCTGATTGCCCAAAGTAATAAAACTGTTAATGAAAAACTTTTTAAAAATTTCTATCAAGCAGCATTTCGTTTACGAAGAACTGACCGTGATCTGTCCTTGTATCATTACAAAAGTGTAATTACATTCACGAAAGGAAAATAAATTTATTAAGCTTCAGCAAAATACTGTATGCCACAGACGTTACTTTTGAAATTCAGAAGAAATCCACACAATCATCCATTCAAAAGCAAGGTAATATTTCGCTCAGTTTTCCCATGTATTTAAATCAAAACCAAAACCGATAGTTTGAATTAGTAAAGAATTTCCACGGACATTCTTGATGCAAGAGCAAACCTTTTTCCCTTTTCTTTCGTTAAAATTTTTTAAAGAAAACTTTGGACAAATCTGGAATAATCAACAGCATTGCTGAATACCGTAGGTGACAAACAGTTCGAAACAGCAGCCTTATCTGACACTGAATAGAGCCAAGTCATCCAATGGGTGAATGGTATATCTCGTGGCATAAATTAGTCGTCTTAACATCGGAAGGTTAATATTGTTCTTGGGCGAGCAGGTATGGGGAAAATATTGCGCCAGAATCATGCTGTAATTGAGCGCAGTGCACAGTGCCTGTGGATGGGGCCGTCTTGACGAAAATGAATCATGGTTAACAAACGGGAAGTAGCGGTCCTTCTCTCAACTGATGAAGAGATTCATAACCTTAAAAGTGCCTCTGATGTAATTTGTACCAAATCCACTGAACGTCTCAGAATTAGACAGTTTGCCCCGATTTCATGCCCGACTGAGCGAGGAAACAGCAACTTGCACGTAAAGAAATATAATCCTGCCGTTGTAAAGAAACAATAAATGTTCAAACTGGTCCAGTGGAAAAAAATATTCGGTGACGGATTGAACTTTCTATTCCATGAGGCGAAGCCAGTTTGAAATAGATAGTTCAATATGTCTCCACGTGAAATCACTCTTACGATTGATTTCAAAAATTATCTAATTGTGTAGTAATGCACGCATTAATGTTATGAGCAGCTGATAAAGAGATCAAAAACAAGTTAGAAACATACCGGTGAGTACTATGACCACCAACGCTGCTAGAATGTAGGGAGGTGTCATCATCCTGGAAATGAACGCGATGTAGCTATGGTGCAACTTTGGCACAGAAGTTCAGAGCAGCTTTTTACCAACCAGTGTGTGTGAGATCAAGATATGCACTAACTATAGAACCATCGCCTACAGGTTTAAATACTTTTCGACTTCAGCATCATCGGGTCTTGTTTATGCACAGTGAAGACGATGATCCACGTAATTGTCGCCAAGTCACCGGACGTGGAAAGAATTGGCGCGTGACTTTCTGTTGTCACAAGGAAATGTTTACGTGCCCAGTATCTGATGATGCTCAAAATATCAGTTCATACGGATGCAAATAGGTTGGTGGTTGGACAAAAGTTTACCTAGTTTTGAAATCGACCTTAAGAGAAGTACGCAGCATTGCACATCAATCCCCGTTGATGCGCACGCGCATACGGAAACACTTTATCGCGACTGACGCCAATGTGAACGCAGACATTCGGCAGAGTTGAATTCTCTTCAACCCTGCCAACTGTGTCGAGTCGACATACTAGGCCTATATAGGGACACACATAATGAGGGCCGTATAACGATGTCTTTCACGAAGCACAGTTTTTGACATTTTCCCCCTTACAAGTTAAGAAAAGAACCCTCAAATTTTTGTCAACAAAATAGCGTATAGTAGTGAAACACATTAACTTGAAGTATCATTTTTACGTCCACACATTTTGGAATCTGTCCTTCCACCCCTGGTGTGTGATGGTCCAAAAATCCCGGCTCTTTTAGGTTGAACATCTTGCAAGTTGTCAGCGATCATATCCGTCAGCAAGCGCCAGTGTGGGCAAGTGCCACTTGATAACCTATGTGACCTAGAACATTTCCAGATGCGTTTCGTGTATCAAAGTCACTCACTGTGCGGCTATTCTGCAACATGCACGCTTACATTAAAATCTTAAAATTCAGGATTTTGGCAATGACGATATTCTAAACATTGATTTCTAAGCTTAGGAGAAGACAGACATATTACCTCTGTCCCCTTTGTCCTTGAATCAATATACGTGTATTATTTCATTAGATGATACCAATTCTAAGGTGGTATTTACTTCTTGACAATAGGTATCTTTTCGATGAGTATCATTTTTAGTCAAGAAGTCAAGAAATATGTAAGCGAAACAACCTTAAAACTATTCTGCAGTCAAGACCTGTGCCGGTTCGATCAATTGTTTAATGGAAATCTGTTGTGACAGTATTCAATCAGACAACCTCTCTTTGTTAATCCTTAATGCACCCCTATTGAAATAACAGCTTATCGTTTGCATATCATACAGTGGAATATGAAATACTAAACAGTGCAAGGCAATCTTAACTCCGAAGGTTACATGTACAAAGCGCCAAAACACTATCAGGGGTAATGATGCACACATGGAAATTCAAAATATTATACGATTAGAATGAATAAGCTCGGCTGCGATATTGAACTGCTACTCCAGCCTGACCAATCGACACAGGGTATAACTTCAAAATCATAGTCACAGCTTGGCCAGTAGTTCTCAAATCTCGCACGGCAGGAAGAGAGGGAAGGGACAATGTGAATAGACAAACCGGGTCGGCTCCCCAAATTGAAGACCCATTCGACGACCACTCTGCGCAAACAGTGATGAGAAGGGACAAGATTTCAACAACTTCTAAGCGAGCAGAGTTTAGACAGCACTGAGGAGGCAACCTTCTGATCAGGGCTTAGATCGCTCTTAAGAAGATCAGGGCAATCTCGGCGTGCAATTATATATATAGTCAACAATGTGCTCGGGAATACAATTTGGTGCAGTTAGCTCACTGGTCAGATTCTTCAACCTAAGGGTTGATCTCATTTCCCCCCGAAAGAGTGAAGCAGAAAGAATACTTTCTGCGAGAATCAGGGACGGTGGACATCACCAAATTTTGTTGCTTTGACCACATCTCGGCAAAACGTAGTCATGCCGGAAAGAACGTTTTCGGGGAAACCTTGGAAACTGGGCAAAAACAGGAAAATAGCCACGGGGTCGATTTCTCTTTTCCAGCCTTTTGGACACAGTACGTATTGTTGTGGTCAGCACAGTCCGTGAGAAGGACATCTTAGTCGGACCCAGTATCTCGAAGGTGCATTCCTACGGGGTTTGACAGCGCTCCTTTTAGACCCACAGGTCTTTTTATTTGTTGGAGATTGAAAAATAATGGGAAAATATGCCAAAACATTCAATCCACAGAAAAATATTCACTGAAAAGTTTTGTTTTTTAAATGTAATATCTTGGGAATAGCGGTAAATGAAGTCTGGGGGAGGGCTCCTGATCGGCATTCTTTTAATCCTGTGTGAAACGTCTCTCATTAATGAACACAGTCTGGTTGGAAATAGCTCACACTCTGGCTTCTTTTGGTACCGTGACCTGTGTGTAATAGAAATAAGGTGGAAGCCATTTTACAGGATTTTTTTTCTATTTAGTTGAATTCTGCAGTGTAAATAATTCATATGGATATTTAATATTAAGCGGGGGTTATCCGTTCATTGTGAATTTAAATAGCTATTTGAATCTGTAAATTGAAACAGCCCATAGGTTACTGCGTTTACTCTTCTACCATTCTGTTTCATAGAATTATCTAGGGTAGTCTTCCGTCGGAAAACCAGAACAATGATGTGACAAAATTGAAAGTCTTGACCTCTTTTGAACAACTGTAAAACCACCTATTTCCGTCTGGAAATCTGGATCAGTGGCAGATCTAGGTCGTTGTAGGGGTGTATTACATAGCAAATTCTTCTGTGACCGGAATGTTTGCAGCGAGATTGGCGTCTTGAGGCCAGCATTCTTGCGTTCCAAGGGAACAAATAAGTTCTTGGCCGGTTCACTTCAGATTAAGAGAATGAATGCTGATAATGCTTCAGCCAAAGATTGGGACATGAATAGCTTCCATTCTCCTCAACTATTTAAGACCGGCGCAGTACATATTTGTTCCCATTCATACGCGCACTCTCACACATTTTAAAATAACAAAGTCAGAACAAGTCATAAATTTGCAAGTTTCCAAAGATTTTGTTTGAGTAGTTTTGCTTTATTATTTCAACAATCCGCTAGCCATGTTATGTCTTAAAAATTAACTTGGAAAAAACAATTTCTCATATAAAACAAACTTCATCAAAAAGAATATCTCGTAAAAAGATTTGTTTCCAAAAATAGACTCAATATTTCCAATTAGGAGATCTCATTAAATCGAACTGTAGAATGTATGTCTCGAGAAAACGAACTTTAGAAAAGATTTATCTCGTACAAACGAAGTCGGAAAAACATATCTCCTAAATACTGATTAAAAAACTTTACTTCACTTTTTCAAACTATACACTTGACGGTACTCCTGGGCTTTCATGGTATAGGCCTATAGCCACAGGGCTGCATTGTGTACATGTATGCACTTCAAGTGAATCACGTGCATGCATGCCAGTGCACACGTCTACAGCAGGTATGATTGTGTCAGCCGCTGACGGATCGGTTTTATTCATGTCAAAATATGTAGATAGCGCTGCGTAGACGCTGCTCTCATGAAAGTCGCCCTCCCCCAATCAAGTAACAGGATGATATTTACTTCATTGTGTAGTTTAGTTCCTAGTGTTTCCTGTGCAGGTATGTCGTGGATCTGGGAAAGCCTCGAATATTGAGAGAGTACAAAAAAGACAAAGAGGTCATCAAGGGTTCCTCTGCTGTCAGGATTTGTAAGTTGTAGAAATAAGAGGGGGTGTGTCACCCTGTGCGTATTTTCTTTCTATTCAGGTTTATTTTTAGTGTTTATAATTTATATCAATATTTCATAATAATCAGGCGCTACTTGCTTATTGTTTATTGCAAAACTGTACGAATATTTGTCCCTGTATTACTCGTTTTTGTTCGGCTGTTAAAAAACAAAGAAACAATGATATGAACAGATGCTTTCGACTTCTTTCAAACAACTACAAATCCACCTGTTTTTTGTGACAAAATCTGGGTCACGATAAATCTAGAACAATGTTATCCTTTGGTTTATTGCATTGCAAATCTTTTGATAAATGGAAGGGTTACGGTGAGATTGCTATGTCCATATGAGCATTATTATGTTCAAACAGGCAGGGAGTGAACAAGTTCTTGGTCGGTCCACGGGATAAGGGGAACAGATGCTGCCGATGCCTCAGCCGAGACCTCGGACACTATCGGTCTATACTCTTCTGAGTCATTTAAAGGGAAAGTATTTTTCGAATCATCATTTTAATGTAAACATTTTCTCATTGCAGATTAGACAATAAAGACGCACTCATTGTTTTCTGTAATTTCTGCTTGTCTGCTTATGTTGTCTATTAAGAGGTTTACATGCCTGGTGAACGTAAAAGTCGTCAGTTTCTTCAGGCCAGCTTCGTGAAATCGGCAAAGTGTCTCGATAAATCAGGACTGGTTTATTCTGTGGCTGTTTACTATTACGTTTCGTTGTGCATGTGTGGACCGTCCATCATGTTCGGCTTAAAGATAAAAGTGACGTTCACGAGTTTACGGATACAGATGGCAATGAGCGTTATTGAGAGTTAGGCCAAATTAATGAGGATTCAAATAGAGAGTGCTTTGCCGACCTCTCTTCCCAACCAGTTTGTCCCTGAACTACCCAAAGAAGTGGCTGGCCAAAGGATAGACACAAGTGTGGGTGTAGAAGATATGGGAGTAAATTCGGATGGGGTGGGAAATATACCCCTCCCCTCTTTTTGACTGGGGGATAGACGGGCTATTGAATCATCCCCCACAGTTTTTGTGGTGAGCATAAAGTTAAATCTGACTGTGTATAATGTATCGGACTTCCCAACGACTAAAATGTATCTAATTTCACCCAAAAGGAAACAATAATTTGTCATTCTGATGTAAGATTCTGAATGATTGTAATACCTATTACAGATGTACCTCGATATCATGAACATTGCCCTCTATATAGTGCCGTATGGTGTCAACACCAACCCCCTCCCCTTTTCAAATTCAAGTCAGCCCTCACAAATCCTTAAATCCAAATTCTCGGCAGAAATTTACGTTACTGCAGAAGACGCCATATAACATCACGACCTAATGTTTATCCCAGGATTCGACTTGATGTTAAGCTATGAAGGTTTCAGAAGAAGTCCTTTTGCACTTACTACTTTTACGTATACGTGCGCCATGTAAAAATTAGCCCCTTTCTTTTCACCTCACCTTTCACCTTTTTTATCGTTTGCCTTCTGCAGCATGCATTTTGTTCATAAAATACAAAAATAAGAGATGTAACGAGTCACTATTTTTTGTGACTTGAGTCGATTTCTGTCATTTTAACTTAACATTGTGATGCAGCGACTCAAGTAGAGTCATTATGCCAAAAAGTTGAGTCTGGTCGAGCCGAATTAAGTATTGAGCCGAGTCCAATTTGAGTTAAATTGAGTTACAAATATTTAAAGACGACACAATTAACAAAAACATGAGAGAAAGTTATTGTTGTTTTCATTTTACGCCAGGACTTTATAGTCACACCGCATTTTACTCTTGCTGAAAATAACACAACATAAATATAAACCAACGCTTTAACCCTAACCCCCCTCAATCCTTCACCTGTTGGAGGACTGAGGAGTGTTAGGGTTAAAGTCATTGCACAAATATTTTCTTTTCGCAAAGAAGTTTACTTTTACTTTTGGGACTGAGTCTTGTTACCTTCCACTCGAGTTGGGTCTTTGGATGAAGGACTCAAGTTGAGTCGAGTCGCTAAAAATGTGATCCGACACTTACTGAAGTTTAGCCATTGACTGGAGTCATTACAACTCCGTCAAACCCTTTTAGAGGCTTTGTTACCTGTTGCATTACTCTAACCTTAAAACAAACGCTCAACGTCAACATACTGCTCGATTACAATCATGCTCACTCCAATTGCATTCCCGCCCAAGCACCTAGCGCTTGTTCATGCATGGAGGCAAAGACGCTTCCGGTCTACTTTCAAGTTCTAAGCTGGATTTTACAGAAGCTTGTGGCAATCTCGACAATAAGGATTCTTTTCTTCAAGTTTGTTGTCCAAAAATATCCGTTTAGTTCACTGACCTTAAAATACCAAGATTATAATAACAAACTTCTCTTAGTTCATCACGGGGATATGTTGTTTTCAAACAGGTCGTTTTATTTGTCGAAGTTTGGAACACAATGGGAAAACACGATTTATTAAACCCACGAATATGTTCCTGTTGTAAAAATAAATCGACTTGAAACTGGAAGGTGTTGGTCGCCGAATGCTCAGAAGTGAGCGGTAATGGCTTCTAGTGGGAGAAGGGAAGGGCTCCTAATCGACATCCTTCCGATCCTATGTGAAACGTCTCCTATGAATAAAGACATTTTGGTTCGACTTAGCTCAGGGTCATTATGGCTTCCTCTGTACCATGATTTATATATTTTAGAAATAAGGTGTAAGCCACCTTTTACGCAAAGTTTCTTCTCTGTTTAGTTGAATTTTGCTGTATAAATAATTTATATCGATATTTGATATTAGATTGGGGTTATCCACCATTGTAAGCTAAAAGAATTATTTGGATTTGTTTTCTTCCAAAACCTCCCATATTTTCTTTTCTATCTAGCTCACAGTTTTATAGAATTCGCTAGGATCGATAGTCTTCCGTCGGAACATCAGAATAAATGATGCGACAAAACTACAAAACCACCTGTTTCCGTTATGAAATCTGGGTCACTAGTAGATCTAAGGTCAGTGTTCGGGTGTATTGCATTGCAAATCCTGTAGTTCGAAGGTTTGTAGTGACATGCAGTGACACTGACATGCTCAGACGAGCATCATTACGTGGCGTTCAAACAGGTTCCTTGCTTGTCCATCGGATCAGGGGAATGGACGGTTATTCCTCAGCCGAAGGTTTGGGCTTCAGGGTACTGGGCCGTTTGCGATTGGCGAAGCATATTGGTTTCCAATCCAGTGACGTATGGGGGGGGGAGAACTTGCCCCCAACTGAACTTTCTGCTTTTTTTTTTTTTTTTTTACAAAGAATGGGTGAAGAGGAAAGAAGGTCTCCAGTATATTAATTTATCAAATATTAGCACCAAATCCCTAAGAAAACAACACCAGCAAATAAAGCAAGGACGCCGGGATCGTAAGGATTCTGATTTTTTCTCCCCAACATCGTGTTGAATAAGCCGGCAGACGCACCTTTTGAATATGCCCCCAACACAGAAAGCTGGATATACCGCTGTTCCAATCATTTATATCTTCAAAACATACCTTTAGAGAAAAAAGTCAAAAGAAGTATAATATTAATTACAAATATCCAATTGTTCAAGAGTTCCTCTCGAGGGTAGTCACAAACAGTCTGGAGATTGAACAGAATCAAGTCTGAAACATTGAGCTTGGCATTAATCACTGAGTGTCCATTAAATTAACCAAAACTGTGATAATGGAATGATTTCCAGACGGAATGTATCAGGTAATACAAGCTCTGTATTTATCCGTGGAGTTTAAAAAACACATTCTATCTAATAGATATTAAAACGCACAAAAACTGTCAGCGTGATGAGACAACAGCAGGCAGAAAAGTGCAAATTCCATCAACCCCGGAACATTTCCAAGCTGAACAGGAGGCTGACATCTTAGGAGATCTATCGATCTTTAGTCTGAAATGACATAACCACAGATTACCAGAAAAAAAGGTTAAAAGGGAACGAAAAACATTTGAAATTAAAGATGTATACCTTTTATACTGAAATCACAAGAAGAAAAAAAAGTAACTTAAATGACACCGACATTTTAGCGCAAATGGAAGGGGGTGAAACTTTAAACCCGGAGGAAGCATTGGACCTGTCCAAATTGCTAGACTGTGGCTTACAATTATACACCACCCTTACAGGTAATGCCTGTAGCCCGTCATAGACTAATTGCAAACTGCAGCAATGTAATTGTTCATGTAAGTAGTACTCTGCTGACCATTTTGGTACACACCAATCAGAGCAGTATTTTCACCTTTCCTAAATTCCTCAATAGGTTCATGGTCTACTCAACAGAGTAACCCCACCGAAACCAAACTAATATGCACGTGTGCTGCCAACGTGTAATACTAATATACGGCATCGTTTTTACCACCTTGACAGATGACACCGGCATCTTGACTGTGGCTGCACTGCGACTCCTCCCAGCATGCAGAAGGGCAATCACGGAGAGTGTCCTCCGCTCCAGTGCACGCCACACCGTCCATGTGGACAGGACCGCTGCCCTCACCGAAGTAAGCACCGGACTTGGCCGCCTGCGCTCCGGAGAAGCCCAGAAAGCGACAGACCACAGCAGCGTCGTTCATATCCCAGCCATTGTCACAAATACTTCCCCAGGTGTCTTTACGGTAGATCTCAACGCGGCCGCTTGAGTTATTGGAACCTCCCACCAAGCGGACGGTATCTGACGAGGTCGGAGAGAGTACATTGTTGACATTACTATCGCTAACACGATCACTTCAATGAAGAAATCAGTGCTAAAAATGATAGCCGATTTTGGTACCTACTAGTACGAGAATATAAGGAAACCACAAGACCATCGTTATTTCTGAGAGTTCAATAACACTTAAAAAGGAGAACATTATAAGAAAGTCATAAATACACCATTATCTGTGTTATGAACATCGCCCCCAAGTGTTGCATAGTTTCAGCACACCCCTTTTCAAATGTCTATGAATAAGCAAGTCACCTCCTCCCCCACGTTTCCACTCCCGGGTTCCCGAAACCAATTTACGCTAGTGCAACTCAAAGCGTGAGAGTTGTTTCAATTGAAAACATGTGGTCAAGTGTTCATCCAGGGTGGTTACACCTTCAGTTGACACACCATGCAATATTCTTGACAAAAATAAAATGACAATAAAGAACGTTTATGCTGGGAACACAACTAGGCAGAAATGAGAAAAGTCAACTTGGGAATGAGTGACTGATATAATTAAGAAACGAAACAGGAAGCTAGAAGACGATAAAGTGAAAGAAGATGAAGAGCGTGACAGCAGGCTTGATGATTAATTCCAGATTTACAAAATATAGAGTCATATTCCAAATTTACAAAATATAGAGTCAAGACTATTGAAATACAAACCTGTCGGTCAAAAATTCCACGTTATTCACGTTATAGACTTGCGAGAAAAGATGGATCATAATGACAAGAAGTGGATTTGAACTTACGCTGTCCGGAGTATCTTCAACGTGCCCAACCAACAGAAGCTCCCCCGGCCCCACCCACGTCGGTTGACCCTTTTTGTCATTGTGGTACCGTAAAACCTCTCGCCTTTAACTTCTAAACGCAGATTAAACGCAATCTGTAACATTTTTTAAACATTTTGACACGTTCATAAATAAACACATAAGACATGTTTATACGCTGAACACACTATTTTATTTAACAAACGCAACGGATGTTTGTGATTAATTATGTGGATGTTCTTTCAAAAACTTTGCTATGTTTATTAAGGGTAGAGTGTTTATTAACTGCACTTCATAGGGTTACAACAAATGGTCGAAATACTGTTAATAGACCTTTTTTTTCATTTTTATCAAATTATCACCCAACCGAGATCCTGGAAGAGATCGAAGTGCGTATGCACGTGCGTGTACATACGACGCACTATACATGCACCAAGTCGTATCTTACACGCTGGGCGGTACAACTGAACGTACGTATTGTCTAAACACGATGTTTATTTTTGGTGTGATAATCAAGTGATAATCCACTCTGCATCCATATAATATACATTATAACACTTGCAACACGAGATTTGATGTGCATTGGCACTAAAAAGTATTGAGAGAGATATATTGGAATTCACGTTTTAAGCCGCCATAAACAAGCGTTTGATGTCCCTATGATTAAACACTTTATATGTTAAACACGTTCACGTCTAAACGCACAGCGTGTTCAAATGTTATATGTATTTAGTTTATAAACGCGTCAAACGTTCTTGGGTTTTACAGTGTACTTGTACTTTGAGTATTTAAAGCTTACTCATTTTGGTTCGGCAAGCCAAGGTGGCTACACGCGAGCTGTTACATTGCTGAAATTCGGTGCAAATGAACGGGCAGTCAATTAGGCGATTCTCCGTGCCTTTACAGGCGACTCCGTTCATGACGATCGGGTGGTCAGTCCCTGCAGAGATTTCCCCTGCTTGGACTGCCTCCAGGAATCGGTGGTGTTGGCGGCAGGCGATATTGGCGTCGCTTAGATCCCAGCCGTCGGAACAGACGGCGCCCCAGGTGGATGTGGCCTGATGGTAGATTTCCACACGGCCGCTGAGGGCGTCATCACCGTCCACAAACCAAAGTGATCCATCTGACACTGTACAAAGTGCAATAAAATACATTAAAAGTACAAATGAATGCCTGGTGATTATACTTGCCGTCTAACTGATTAATTGTTTCGTTTCGGTATGCATGCATTACCTTGACACCCCAGCACTTCAAACCTAACGCTGTAGGGTTCCTCAGTATAGCTCCAAGGTTGTACACGAAGATACCTTGCCATCGTCGCCACGGAGAAAGTCACATTTGTTGGTCGTCCACTGCTTACTCTAAACTGAAACCAGTTCAGAGTGATAACACATGGTGATTAATCAATCGTGTTCAAATAACAACACTTCCCCCCAAAAGAAACTGACCACACCCTTTATGGATTAACATTTTCATGTGTGTTGATATCACTCAAATTTCCAAATAGAGCGGAGACAAACAGGACGCCTGTTACGAGACGGATAAGGATTTCAATAACTAGCTACAAAACATTTTGTTGTTACGGAGGCCTACAAGAGCCAAATGCATTTAAAAAAAAGATACATTGCAACGGCGAGTAACCGGTCCCTCAGAGAGATAATAACTCGCCGTGTCGAGACAGTAAGTAGCCATGGCGAGAAGTCATTTAAAGGGTGACTGCAATAGATTTTTGTGATTACAAACCTATGAAATGCACCTTTCTGCCTGAGTTAACCTTATTTTCAACTTCTCAAGGGGGTATTTTAACACATTTTTGGCTTTCATGCTAGTGAATATTTCCATATTCATGAGCAAAACTGTGATGTCATCTCAGGAAGAAGCCTGAGTTTTACATTGGTTTGCACCCAAAAAGTCCTACACATTTACAGATTTTCCTGGACTCAGTCTTCCCTTCTTTACTGATTCATTGTTGCTCATGTACATAGCAACTAGAAAACGTCAATCCCTCTCTAAAAAATAATTCAGTAGGTAAATTCTGGGTTCACAATTTGAACAGAAACACCTATGCACTGAACTTTGTCTTCCCTAGATGAAGTCACAGCAAAGGCGCCCTCAGTTCCATGGATAATTTTAATTGTTTAAAAATATGCACTTTTCAGTGCATTTAACTTAATAGGAGTCTAAAAGAGTTTTCGTATACCACAAAGAAGAGTAGAGTACAAAAATGCAGAAAAATTGTGTAAAATAAAAATTCATTGCAGCTACACTTTAAAGAAAATAAATGTGGCACTTAAACTCTTCTTTGAATAAGTAAGTAAAGAGTGCTTTCACCAGTTAGTCAACAAAATACAAGAAATTATTTACACATGTTTAACTAGTTTGTTGAATTAATTTGCTTGGATTTAAAGCTTGTTGTTTGTCCTGTTGTTTACGTCTCTGTGTTTGCTTCTTTGTGTTTGGTTTTAGTTTTTAAGGAATTATCTCCTTTTCAAAGAGAACTAATTAGACATTAATAAAGAACTGAACTTAAATGCCTTGTGAAGTACACGCTCCCGTTTCGTGCATAGCAAAAGAGTTATTTTGTGTTTTCATGATTATATAAATGACTCTGTGTAAGAGTTAGAATGCGTTAATGAGCAACCCCAAAGGTGAAAGATCCCATAAACCCGGATTCATCGATTTTTGGTTACAAAAACTCACTTTTGAGACCCGTTTCTGCTGAGCGCCATGGTTAGCTTTCGTGGAAGGAGTGTGTTGTCGTCGCTTCATTTACGTCTCATGATACGGGTTTTCGAGGATTTTGTCGACGGAGCACCCTGGAAACGGTTCTCCGGCTGGTGCATGTACGCAATGAGCCTGCGCGGTCACATGCACATAATTACACGTAGTATAGTAATGCATGTGTATAGTTACCGTTTGTTGTCCCAAGTCCGAGGCGCAGAGCCTCACCGCTTCGAATCCATCGTGCCACCGGAGCGCCAACGGGATCCCGATCGGGCTAACGATAGAGCCGCCGCAGGTGAACCGTGGGGCGGTGAAGGAGGCGAAGATCGTTTGATAAATACGGCTTGGTAAGTTCAGAGTGAAGGACAGATGTTTTGAATGTTTTTATGTTGTTATTTTATTCCAAAAAAGTGCGCTGCTCAGGTGTGCAGGCCTTTGTACGAAAACATACCCACGAAACCAGGTCCTGCGTGGTCATGGCGAATTTCGTTTCCACGGTGGTGCGCACTGTTAATATTTATTCAGAAGTCACAGCGCACATTTACATAACTTATATAACTTATTACTTAGATACCACGTGAGTATATTAAACTGTATTCCCCGGTTTTTTTCACCACCATTGGGGTTGCTTTTTAGATTGTGACATACGTGTTAATGACTGCTGTGATTCTGGTGGGAAAATGGTCGATGGTCAACGATTCACAATTATTATCGAGTACTCACCAGTTTGCCTCCATCTGCATTGCGTAGGTCCTGCCAATCTGACTCGTGACTTACACGGTACTGCGCCTTGAATGCCGTCACATACCGGTAGCCAGTATCACCATTTCCATGTCCCTGTATCACAACCCCTGTGACTGCTACGTGGCTACCGAGAGCAACCTTGATCCACTGGTTAAATGGATTGCGTGGAGTCCATCCAACGTAGCCTGTTGGACATAATGACATTTACACGCAGTAGGTTACTTTCTTATCATATTACTCGATACAAATCTAGCATCAATGATGTAGTGCCTCTAGGATCCCTCAAGCCTTGATTGTTAGGGCCTCGCGGCCTTCACCTTGAGGACCAAAACCTCTGCTCAAAAACACCCTCTTTTAATAAAACAAAAACCATTAAGATCTTAAGCCACGAATACCAGTCTGTGATCTCTTAACCGAAATCTGTACTCCTTATCTGCCAGTGCATATTCTCAGTTTACAGAAAGTAAGTGGTGAAAGCATGTACAAGCAAAGTCTGTACAAGCCTGTACAAGCAAGGAAAATGGGATTGAATATATGCATATTTTCAAAACAGAGCTTATATGGAAAGCCTTGAAGACAGCAAAAGACAAACATCAGACACGTAGACAGGACAAAACCGGATATAACAATGACCACAAACTGACACCACATAAAAGGGAAGTCTCCAATTAACAAAGAACAAACTCAGGCCGTGTCCGAAACGGGCTTCCAGAGCTACGGCTAGGTCTATTGTCTACGCGTCGCGACGCATTTCCTATGCAGCGAAGACCTAGACCTAGCTCTAGACAAGAGATTCGGATGCAGCCTCAATTAGAACTTATAGAAGGCACTCTAGCGTAAATGCTTGGACAGAGTAGGTTGGTTGCCCTCCGATGAACATTATATTATAGTTGCTAGCCTGTTGTTTACATCATGGAACTACATTAATTGATAGGCCTAATTGGATAACCATAAAATATTGTGTGACGATATTTTTTCGAAGATTTTGTAATAATTTTAATTTCATAACCAAATTGTTCCGTGGACAATGATTAAGAAATCATTTTTCAAGTAAAATAATCCCCCTGGGGTGGCGCCTGCTGGCTGTGAGACAGTCTGCTACACAAGTCAGAGTCCATGTCGACAATTACAATTGACAGTTTGCCTTCCCTCCAAATTTCTCTTAAAGCTTTGTTGTTTGTGCTTGTTGGAAATGATCTACTGTTTGTGCGCAGTGCAAGCGACGCGGACTACATTCCAGAGCAAAGGAAAATATACAACTTCCGCTGAGTCTTCCTGTGTTTATAAGTCTTGTCGTGGTGACAGGATAAACAGGGTTTTCTTCAGCAAGATGTTCCACAATTTGATATTTTTAGATCAAGGAGTCAGAAAACTGGGCCGCACGAGAAACACATATTCTTGGGCGGTGCTTAGTTTCAGGTGTTGCTACTGAAACATTGAAACTCCCGCATATGGCAGTAAGTCCGGTTTATATTATGGACAAGTGACCCAACTGAAGTTTCAAACATTTAAACTGTATCGTTTTAAACTATGTAACCTTAAATTTCCATTGATGTAGACTGGCTTGGTGGACTTTAACAACACGAGTTAACCAAGTGTGTACGGGTTCCTTCGTCAGCGGCATAATGAACAGTTTTAGAAAGACGTTGGCTTTTCGGATTAACCAATAACCTTTGGTTGATTTTGTGAAAAAGCATAAAAAATAAGTGAAACTGACAAAACACAAGCGCTGAAATGACCGCGAGCATATGTAATTCAAAGTATATTTCGCCCATACTCTAAAAAACATCCGGTCAGATTGAGTCAGAATTGGGTCCTATTCGGTATAACCCTTTTCAAATTATGACCAAGAAAGGGTCAAATATGGCCCGAGAGGTGTCATATTTTGACCCAGAAAAGGGCCATACCGAATGGGACCCAATTCTGGGTCAATCTAACCCCGGAGTTTTTAGAGTGTAACTTTTCCCACATACTGGGCATTTAATGGCCTTTCTACGGGAACCTGATGGAGGATAATTATCGTGTTCTATTAAAGGTCACGTTACGAAGTGCGATGAATATCTCTTCTGCTGTTCCCTTTGATCTGGTGATAGTTTTCAATTTTCGCACTTTTTGCAAGTTCCTTTTAATACACGTATAGCCTGAAAGTTGATATCTGATAATCGACCGTTTCCGGACCCTTGGATTGGCAAAAAAGCCTGCAAAAATTTTAAAATGAGTGGTCATTATTTGTTGTTTACATCTTCTTAATGTAGGGATCTGGGAATTCCCAAGTTTGATACCAACAAATTATAATTTAACCTTTGAAATTTGCATGTGAGCAGGGCGTGATGTGGACGCAGGCCCATATGTTTGTTTTGGGTTGGAAGTGGCCTGAAATATATTACCTCTTAGCGCGACTGGGAGGATAGCTAGAAGTTTCCGAGACTGAGAGTTGGCTTTCGACTTGGCTTGGGGTAGCATTATGGCTACACTGTTTGTCTCAGTTTTATCCTTTAATAAATATTGGGCTAATACAACAGAAATATGAGGCTCCGGTAGTATTCCCGTCGTAGTCCGTCTTTCTCTGGCGATTCTCTTTCCTTTTTTCCTGACTTGATTTGGCTTGCAATTTCCCCGTCGGTGGCGGACGGACCGCCATGGCGCGCCACCCCCGAACGATCGGTCGGGGGCCGGACCGCTACATTAATAAATATCACCTCGGAAAATGCCTTTGTAACACCAACAGAGATCAGAGTCCAAATGCTTACCGGTATTCAGTCGTGCATCACTTGCGGGGTGACTTGACCTAGAAGATGATGCAGTTATGCTACTGTCCTTTATGGCTCCACTTTCCATACCAAGTGGGCCACTGACACAGGGTGCTAAAATACAAACGAATTCACGTAGAGGTTACATGTACACGACTGTGAAGCTACAGTGTTCATTTCTGACCGACCATCAAGCAAACCAACCGACCAAATGACCCATATCGGTAAATCCATGATCGAGTCTGCCAAATCACTGGCACCCCAAAGTCACTTGAATCAACGGACCTGCAGACGAACAACCTATCACTGGTCATCTCATACCCTTCCTGCCTATCAACCACCGAACTCAGCAACCAATACTCTGGGCGTATATCCGTGGGGACGAGGAGTATACATCCCCTTTCTGGCCAGGGACTGGCTCATTAAATCACCCTCTCTCCAACGTTTTCTTGGTGAAAAAAAGAAAGGGCGGATTGTAACAAAATTCGATCATTAACACGTTTTCCAAAGGGGGAGAACAATTTTAAAAAGCCATAATTCGCTGTTTTGATGTAAATTTCTGCGGGAGTGTCATACATATTAGGTCTACAGATTTACACCTGTATCACGAACGTCGCCTCTGCATATTGTCCTATGGTGTCAGCATCACCTTCCACCTGTTTTTAAATTTTCCACGGTCAGGCAAAGCATCCTGCTTAAATCCTCACCCTCCTGTTCCTGCAAATATTTTCACCCCTGCTTTACACACCCACTAACTCACCCCCTTCTCATGGATAGAATAACTGATCGACTGCCGATGCAGTCTAATTCACTCATCCAGTGTTCTAGTTCTATTGGATGCCAGACTGCCCGAAAGACGAAGTCCATCGAGCAGATACACAAACAACTTACCAACCAACCACGGACCCGATTAAGTGACCATTACTCCACTGGCAAAACCTGCAACCGAATGAGTCTACTACAGACCCACTTGGACCTTCCAAATGGTCCATCAACTACCCACAAACCCGATGACCATGCAGTTCTGTGTTTGCTGGTCCAATCCAATGCCTTGTCCCTCTCATCCCTCGAGCCGATCAACTGACATCTCATTAAACTAACCCCAAAGACTGACCCACTGATAAGTTATCAGTGGGTCAGCCTTTTGGATTTAGGGTTAGTTTAAAGGCTAACCGATAACAGAAGCCCACCCACCATTGGCTTCTTTGCAACAAACAATCGATGTATTGAGCAATCTATAGCTACCTATCAGCAAACCTTTCTAGCTAATTTGATAACAAACCAAGTATTTTTTCAACTTAAAACCTACCCGCTAATATATATCTCATCGAAATAACTAGCATCCGCAAATTAAGAAGACCTTCTACTGATTAGCAAGTCCGTTTGTCAAGGAAATGTCTTGATTGCTGCAAATTCTGATTCCCAAAAGTCAGAAAACTCTTTGTCTTGTGTCTTGCATTATTTCTGCCTTTACGTTAGGTAACAGTAAAAAGCTCCCTACCAGACATCCCTCCATCTGGAGTTGGTGCCCTGTTGACTGGAGAAGCGAAGCTCAGTCCTGAAACAAAATATACGTATGCCGGACTCTGAAAGGAGGACGGCAACTTGAACACAAAGATTATTTATTCAAGCTTTGTATATTAAAAAAATGATAATAATTCAAAATGGTGCGGTTTAAAACAAAAAATGACAGACCGAGCGTTATATTCCACTTGGCCAAGAGAACTAGGAAATAGATCCTCCCATCTCTCTCCTCGTGAAATTACTCTTACCATTAAGAAGAGAAATTTGTAGCACTACACGCTTCAGCATGATCAATTTATCTAAAAGGCTACTAGCAAACGTTATGTAATTAATGATGGTGTTGGAAACATACCGGCAAGTACTATGACCACCAACACTGCTCCAATGTAGGGAGATGCCATCATGCAGGAATTGAATGCGATGTCCCCAAATCGCAACTTTCGCACGAAAATGTAAGTGTAACGTTCAAAATCAACTAGTAAGTACGCGTAGCAACGAGCGCACTGAAGTCAAGAGTCGTTTGCGGCTTTAAATACCTCTCGACTAAGTGCAAGTCATCAGATCGTGTGTATTTACTGGGAGCAAGAGTGTTTTTACAAGAAAATAGAATGCAGGGATTTAAACATAAACACGCACACAATGACAAAGCTTACAGATCGCAAGGAAGTTGATTTACCCTCAAAAGTATAGGAACATTTGTCCATGATTCGAACAAGATTACCTTATGGGTAAACTTCAAACACGAGGACTTCAAAATCATCAGGTCATGCGGATGTAGAACCATTGGTAGGTTGCTGTATACTGCAAAGGAACGGAAGAAAAATACTTACACAGGATCAGGAGATACAAACTTTGCGAGGCCCGATGTCACGCAATCGCTCGATCGTATGTAAAGTGTGGGAAAGTTGCTTTGTGTCAGCAAAGTAGAGACCTGAGTTTCCACCTCCAATTGCCTTGAACCAGCTTCCTCTGGAAAAGGTATTCAATTGTTTATTTCCCCTTTAACCTCTACTTGGTTCGAAACTCGGCCTATTTGGAACAGCAGACAAAACTTAATGTGCCCCATTTGGAGGATACTGTAGCGTCAGCTTTCCTCCGTAAAGGTTCACAAAACCATCTAAACAACTTCACCGGTTAACAAGTTAAGCTTAGTATTCATATCGGCGTGAAGAGACGCACACATAATAATTAATACAATAATAAACTGATTTAGCAAACGCCCTCCGTTAAATTAACCTAACCTAAATTAACTTAAGTAAACTTATTTACAATAAATACCAAGCACACGAAGATACATACAAATCACAAAAAATTGCTAA